CCCTTTTCTCTGTAAACATGTGAGAGTGGCGGAGTGTGCACTGTGGTCTCACTGTCGTTTGGAGACTTGCTCCAGCATTTTCAGTGTATTTGGGGTATTTAGTACTCTCTGCTTGATATTAGATTCAGGCAATGTTAGTGGTGCATTCCCAGTGGTGGTGACTTTATGGAGGAGAAGTTCTCAGTGCTTCTTTTGACTGTCCTGAGTTTCTCAAATGTTCTTACAGATCTAAGATTTTAATTTATATGTAAGTAGATACATGTGTACAAGCTACTATGAAAAATCTTGATATAGGTCTGAAGTTTAAGATCTCTATCTTCCCTTAAACATTCTAGTCTCCCGAGAAGCTAGTTTTTTTTTTTTTTTTTTTTTTTTGGAGGGGGGGCTGGACAGGGAGGAGGGGTGGAGTGGGGATATAGGGTCTCCGATTTTAGGCTCACGCTTCTGAAATTAAGTGCAGAGGTTGCAAGAAAGCGACTTAGCCGGGGACTTCGCATCCCGGCGCAAGGCGGAGGATCGCGGATCGCAGCTCCGGCTACGTCCTGGGAAGGGAAACTGTAAAGACTTTCATGACTTGGCTATGATTCCACTGCGTTAGGTTCTTCATCATCAGGGGCTCTGAAATGCAGAAGGGGGCCTATTTTACCGTGGAGGACCCCAGAAATAAACCTATTTCAGATCCATTCCCCAAGCAAAGCCGCTCTCTTTTGTCTTTCTCTAGAATCCAATTGGAGTTCATTGCAATCAAGTTTAGATTAAGAGCGGAAGACTCTTTCTACCTTGGGTTAAGMTGAAAATAAAGATAAGTACACCAGATGATTTTTGGTAAAAGCCTTCCCAGGTTCAGCGTGATGTTAGGTGCTGTTACAGAAATGTGTCAGTGAAAAAAAAAAAGTAAAAATAAAAAGCTTCGTGTTTGCTGAGCCGCTGCTGGGTGTCACCGGGCTCCATGAAATGATGCACCTGACGACAGCATGATTTAAGGATTTATAAGAAAATAAAGTGCAGTATCAAAAAGTCCCTGTGCTGGAGGCCTCTAACGACCCTAGGAAATTTTTTTTCAAGCGAAGCGATGATGGACCTAGTCCGACGGCGTCTTGGAGCCTGGAGAGCGACTGGCGCGACTGGCGCGGGTAGCTCTGGGGGAGCTGCTGAGGGAGCGGAGCCCCAGTTCTCCTCGACGTGACACCGGGGCGGCGAGCGGAGCCCCAGTTCTCCTCGACGTGACACCGGGGCGGC